TTTAACAAATTTAGTTACAAAGCATAAAAACACACCATATCATACGTCAATTAGTATGACACAAACAATAATAAGTAAAAAAAGAACCAAATCTTTAAGTAAATAAGCTTTTTAAATTATTTAAGAAACAAATAAAAGTATAAAAAAGTATAAAGTCAAAAAAAAATTAAACAAACTTTATATTAACAACGTCAAGCTGTTTTTTTTTTAAATTATATAATTTGGATTAATATTGTGTAAAACTGGGTTAAACTGAGAAGTAAAACCCTATTGCGCTCTGAATTCTTATAATGTAAGTTGTAACATTTTTAGTAATAAAACGTTATTAAATTAATTTGAACATTTTTTTTCTTTGTACCCCTTGACTTTTAACAACGACAGTTGAATTCTTTTGTATCGTTCTGACCTATATTTTTTTATCGACGAATACACAATTGTAGTAAATTTCTAAAATTGTATAAAATAATTTTTCTGAGGTGTTTGTAATTTGTAATTTACCATAAACTCTTCTTGTGTCAGGCGGTTTCTTATTAGATTTTCTGCTTATAACTCAATTATGTCTTGACATAGACACGTCACTCGGTGTAAGGTGAACAGTATTGAAAATATTCTCCTTTTGACCCACCAATGAGTAATCTATAATTATTATTTTTTTTTTTTTATGACTGCTCTTGATTGTTTAATTTTGTTTTCTCCACCGTCAGTGTACTCGGTTGTCGTGCGACAGCTCCGGTATATTTTGCAACCGTTGGCGATTTCCCAGGATTTAAAAATGTCATAGTATAGGATATGTGTCATATCTCTGGTATTTCCATTTGTGTAGTGCATTCTTCAAATATTTTCAATTTGGTCATTATCGGCCGAATGAGGTGTCCAAGGGGAGTGTATGTGTGATATGGTGGACGGTTATATTTAAACGCCGGTAACAAAATTTCGAATTATTCCTCTTCAATTGCATAGGATTGTTAACATAAAAGTCGGTATTTTTTATCCTAGTGTTCACATTTTGGTACGGTTATTTGATATTTCAATGTAATACTACAGCGCCCCATACTGTTTGGATACCAATTGTAATGATTAAAAATATAAGGGTTGGTTTTGTAGTAGCCGTAACAGTTTTGCATGGAAATTAAGCGATTAAATATGATTTTAACCTAACCAAACCAAACCTAACCAACCTAACCTAACCTAACCTAACCAAACCTAACGTTATTAAAAATTGGGCGATTGTATATGGTTTTCGCGCAGTTCCTTGGTAAGTGTAGGTATCTGGTTATTATGGTTTAATGACTTACGGAACGCATTAAGTCTGGTCGGCGGTCCGACATACTTGAGAGAAAAAAACGGCGGTGCCTTAAAAGAACAACTATACTATGCTATAATTATTACTAGTGTGTGGGAAACGTTAACGGAGAGGTATTTGGACTTTGGTAGTGTGCCGGTTTTGTGTAAAAATGCCGGACACAGGTCAGCGCCATAAAGCAATAATAAACGCGTCGCGCTACTGAAATTTACGAACTGCTAAAAGAGATTTCTATGTACGCAACGACTAGGATATTATTATGTTGCTAAAAGTGTATGTGTTTATTTTTTATCATAATTATTTGGAACACGCGTTTTACGATACTTGTAAACGGTGTAATATTCTAAATCTAGTGTTTACCATTATTATTAGATCTACAGACGGAACACGGTATGCGGAGACGACACGGCTTATGGGTTTTACGATCTTATTGTTGCGTGTCTACCACGTGCATAGTAGTAGTAGTAGTATAATATAATATTATTATTATTATGCACAATGATAATATTACTACTCTATAGCACTGATGGCGACCGTCGTATAATAATTACTCCACAGTGGACCGACTTACGTAAAAGTCCATAAAAAAAACCACGTCCGAGTGAGTGAAAGTTCTAAATCATATAACGGCGACGATTGTTTTGGTTTTTTTTTTTTATAGGTAACCAAATGTAGCACCGTAAAAACAATATCCATCGGGAACGCGGTGTGCCTTTTACCAGAGCAAATAAACCACCAAAAATGAACACTGGACCATTAACGAGTAGTATTCGGAGGCCAAAAACAAGAACAAACGACACCCGTTAGATAATAATGAAAAAAAAAACGAAAATTCTTAAGTTTTTATTATAGTTACCGTTTTCCGCCATCTTTGTGGGAATTATAACCTTATCACATGTTTATAACTGTTATCACTGTTTACAACAATTACAAGTTGTGATGATAGCACATAGTAATAACGGAAAAAAAACGAAAATTCTTAAGTTTTTTTTTTATTTTAAAACATAAAATAACTTCAGAACACAGTTATAGTTATAATAAACTAGATTGCTAAGTGTATACATGCCGCCAAAAGATATAATTGAAGTTGAATTATAATTCTCGGCCATCAGAACTATAGGTTATGGTGCAAAATCAAACTGGTCTTGTTAGTTACCGGGTACATATACAGGTTACCAGTCCGGTTACAATTTAAATTCGCGCTATCAGGAGTGACGATCAACTATCGTAGTGGTTACCTTCTGAAACCCGGTAACCATTGTATCTACCGCCAAAACCAATCGTTTTAAATATTGTGTTACAATTGATCGATTTTTAAACGACACTTGTCGCGTGTGTATCAAGTCAAAACGCACAAAACGAATGGTGTTATTTTTTTAAATAAGATTTTTATTTTTTATTCAACCGTGCACCGACCCCATGAAGATAATTGTGTTAGCTGAATGACACACGTTTACAATACACTCGAGGCAAAACATTTGATTTACACGTCTTGTCGGTGTTGCGGTGTAATATTATATTATTATAATTGTTTAATATAATATTATCACACAAGTTGTTTGGAATATACCTTGAAAAAAAAAACCAAGAGGGATATGTTCCTGGGTAGGTTTATTGCTCGTAGAACATCTAAACTGCATTAAATGTCCGTGTTTTTATTCCATTGCTCGGCTGCCATTTCCGAAGAAAGCCGTTGGCGTAATTGCCATAACATTATTATGATCATAGAAAAGCTTGGAGCTGCGACTTGACATTCTAGTATAGAATAACGATAAGTCATTGAGAATAAAAAAAAAATGCTGATATTACACGAAGTACAAATTAAAAAAAACACACCTTCTCCTCTCGACACGTCCATTGCTGCAAAATGAAATCAGTGTATATCGCTATTCATAGATGATTCACATAGATGATTATAGCAAATAACAAAGCCGCGAAACTAAATCCGCGAAGAAGTGGACTGAGGTTCCTAATTTGAAGAAAACGCATTGGAAAATAGGTTAGATTTTTTGCCACGAATATAATTTAAAAAGTGCATTTGTCAATATAAGTGTTTCATTATGTTTCAAATTTTTTTAACTAACACTGCCTGGAATGCAAAAAGGTGTTTTTTTTTATTAAAAAAATTTAAAAACATATTTACTCCTTACAAATGGGTCAAACGAGACTTGGTAATATCGCATTAGGACAGAAACGTTAAATTTGATCAAAATCACAAACTGTTATTTGCTTAAAGAATTTGAAATTGCAATTATTATAATTTGTATTGTTTTCAAAATGATCAAATCCCTACTGCTAGACTGTAGCTGATTTGATCAGTGGATTTCCGCTTATCACTTTTATTTTATCAGCTGATTCTCTTATCAGTTATGCGGTGCTTTGGATTTTCTCTTATCACTATCAGCTCATCCCCTTTACATCCTTATGATAACTATATAGAAATTCGTCTTTTAATTATTATCTCACACTATTAATGCCTTCTCAATAATGACAAACGCACAGAATTTTGTTGTTTTCCCTTCTGCTTTACAAATATCAAATTAATTTTGCTTTAACGACGCATTGACTGACATATACGTCAGTGGGTCATTGTGGGATGTATTATGTAATCGGGTTTTGCGACCAAAATCCGATGTCGAGATATGCACGAGGCGAGTCAATTGGAAAGAAATCTAAAGGCGAAGAAGACATAAGTAGGTACTCCACTCCTACAGAAATTTCAAACGCCATATTATTATTATACAAGACAGGACCCCATATAGTGCTTGCTCGTGTAAACGGGACACACTGTCCTCTCAACGACGTTCCTTTCTTTAAGTTTACTTTGATTTTTATCCACCTTTTTTCTATGTACGACTGACGTGCCATTATTATTAAATGATATTATTGTTTTTGTTTTATCAATATTGATGTTCAACGGACAAGCCCAACGTGTGTTTCATACGATATTGTTGCAAATCAAAAATAAAATCTATTTCTCCGTTTATTAATTTGTAAAACTGTCAGAGAGTATTGAAAAACATGTTGTGAACAGAGTTGGGTATTGAACAAAATACAATAATATATCATTCCAATATCGGAAGTTATAATTTTCAAATTTCACCGTTTTACATATTTTGTGTTATTATGATAAAAATACTTTTAAAAAATATGTTGGGCGATTGTTTTATTATAATTTGGTATTCAAATAATGTTGATTGAAAGTTTTTCGAAGACTTTAGATTTTTATAATTGTTATTCGTTATTTAATTGGCTTTTTTCCCCTGAACTATGACTGTGAACAGGTGATAGTATTATTTCTAGAATGGGTGTACCTATCAGAAACCGTATGGTATATTATTATGATGTTGGCAAGAGCGTGATAGCCGCCGGTAACCGAAAAACTGTATACTTACAATAATTCCAACAGTGTTCATATTATATATTAAGGCTGGTACTTGAAAACCGATATTCTTACAGATCTAGTGTGGCCCAGTTCCTTAAACGGTTTTCAGTCAGACTATTGTTTTATTAAGGAAAACCCCCCAAAAAAAGGAAAAAATCACATTTTTTTAGGTGTTAAATTCCAGATTGAGTATGAACAGCTGGTATCAGAACCAATCAAAAATAACTTCAGAATACAACTTGGTAGACTTTAATTACCAAAAAAAAAAAAATATTTATTTCCCCAAAACTGTTAATCGTCAATGATATTTACCTGTGTTGGAACTGTATTCGCCTATGTATCGTTTGGTTAGATATCGCACTGTAACAGCTGTAACAAACAAAATAAAACGGTTAATTATCGTACAAATTTAGGTAATTCAACTATTTTAATTGACCGATTTTATTGAATTTATTATTTCTTACACGGAGACAGTTAGGTCGAAAGTATAGGAACAATTTTTGATCTCTAAGATCAAACCGATAAAATTCATTAAAATATAACATTTAAAATGTTTATTTTATTATTAATTATTTATTTTATACGCCTCGTTATAATATGATAAAAACATTATAATACACATATTTACCAAGTTTCATAGCATAACGAGTTAAATAGTTAAAACATGATTATAGTAAGAATATGGTTTATAATTATCGAACTTTAACACTACATTAATAAACGATTTAGATGGACTTACTAATAATAATTTGAAAATAACGAGAAATTTGAGATAATTTTTATTTAATGTACGAAACTAAGTTTTTCTATAAATATCTACATCATTTGTACTTTATTTAATATATTTGTTTGATTTTTATTACTCAAATATATATAAATAAAACATTATTCGAATTAAAAATGTATTTAAATAATTTTTTTGAATTTGTTATTTGAGTTTTTATTAAAATACACAAAAAAAAATGTTCATATTTATTTAAGCAATTTTTACTTTTGAATAATCCCCGAGTTAGGATCTATGAATATATAATTGAGTACTAATTACTAAAAATCAATTAGGAGTGTTTATTATTTGTATTCGAATTCAAAGTTTTTATCAGTGCGTTTGATAACACAACGGAATGTGCTAAATTTAGCATATTTATGCTATTGTTAGTATCACGAATTAGGTAAAACCAGAATTTATTGATTGTTATCAGAAAAACCCTTTCCTGGGTTTTCTGAGTTTCCATTGCAGCCTACTCGCATTTAATGTTTATACAGAATGTTATTGTTAATATGGTAACAACACAACCATGTCAGTGTTTGTGATAATAGACTTAAACGACTTTGGGATATTTTTTGAGGTTTATCCGGATTGACACCACGTTGTATTGTTGTTATTATTTTTTGTTTGATTACCGAGACAACCCGACAACAATATTGTATATTTATTTGTTTTTTACAGCTCGTTTCCAATCGGCCGGATAGGTATTTTAATAAACTAATTCGAGCCAAAAATCACGAATTCGATACAACACCACCACCACGACCATCGAGTGGTGTCTATATAACGCAACACTCAACATAAATACCAAGGTACGATGAAATCTAATATTATAAATTAAATATTTTAAATGCAAGCAACACGGGCGATCGAATATCGCAGAGGCCGTGGTTTTATACAGGCGCTGCTAGGTAGGCGTAAAAAAAAAAAAATATTCAATTACAATATAATTGCCCGGAAATAATTTTAAGTTTTCAAAACAACAACAACACACACCTAAGGGATATCCAATTACCTGTGGTTTTTTTTTTTACCCAAACGTAACCGTGGTCAGTTTTTCCAAACAAAAGAGAAAAATGTACGTTTACTGGCGGATTAGTTGTAACCCAAACACCGTTATTGTATTTGTTTGGATTCGGTTGCCCGATTTTGACCGCAAGAACCGAAATGATAGCACCGAAAATGAAAATAAATTAATCCGTATAACCTTGATTTGTAGACATTCAATTTTTTTTTGGAATCCTAAATAAAAATCAAGAAAATGAAATCACTTTGAAGAAACGCTTAAAACGTTAAGCACAAATACGGTCTTTTGATTTTGTAAAAAAAAAAAGTTAACTTCTTATCAGTAGATCCTAATCAGTTATCTGTTATTACTATTACCCACAGATATATATATATATTTAATAAGCTAGATTGCTAACTAATGATAAGAAATTAAAAAGTCGGGGTCCGCCATTTTTGTGGGATTTATGTGTGTGTAAGAAATAATATACATATATCTGTAATTCTAACACTTATAATTGTTATAAACATATTATTTTCACGTGATAAGTTTCTAATTCCCTCAAAGATGGTGGAAAATGGTAACCTTAATTGTCACAATTGCATTGGTAGCATGTACACTTGGCATAACCAGGTTATTATATATGTTTATCTGTGCTATTTCCTGTTATTTCTTATCACTCCCATATTGTCTAAAAAAAGGCGGCGTTTTTGAAAATTATTTTAGCAAAGATGAAAATATAATTTCTTTGAAAGCCTAAATTAAATAGTTGTAACGTTTTGTAATTTTCACGTCTTAACAAACTGAGACACATGTAATCGGTTACAGACCTTAGAATATATTGTGGAGGTTGTGTTCGCGTGGGTGTACACTAATCGGATATATTCGCAGTGTCGTTTAATGTGAACGACCCACCATGTTGTTTCGTTAAATCGTTAAAAATAAAAAATTAAAACAACCAAGTGTGGTTAAATAAAAAAAGTTTCCTAGCTGATTATTTACTTTATACACACACTATTATTTATTTTAAGTCAGTGTTCGCATTTGATGATGTCTCTAGGAAAAATCTGTCACTTCAATTAGACAAGTACTCTTTGCTTGAAAAAAAAATACTCCACTTTATTCCTAGGTTTCCTAAAATAAATTACAAAATTAATCTCTCCCGGTAGTTGACAAAAAAAATGTGTTTATTATCATGTCAACTTAATCAGAGACATCAAGAAGAGCTATTAGACACAAGTAACAAACGTCCGACGTTCACATTTTGTGCATTTAGAACAAGTCATTAGCTTTTGTACACTAATAATAATAGTTAACGTCATATAACAAATGTGTATATGTAAACAATAAAAAACGCCAAAAACAATTATCATCTACACCGAACCGTGTTTAATATGAAAAAATACTACTTTGCTAAAAAAAAAACCACTAATCAAAATCCAGCTTTTGTACTAGACATTATTTATTTGTCTGTGTTCATTATAAAAGAAAAAAAAATTACAATTTACAACAGACATTTTATGGTATTCCAAAAAAGCTAAAAGTGTACATTTACATAAAAAAAAATATATATAATGCTATTGAATAAAGTTAAAAAATGATCAATGTAATGTGTCTTATCAACGATTTGTATTATTCTTATCTTAATATTTATTATTAAATAACTAGGATTAACACAAAACGTGGACTAACGTGTATTGAAATAATTTTCAATGCAAGTATTAATAATAAATACACTTTTATAAAATTATAAAAACAAAATTGTATTTTAATTAAATATTGGTCAATTTTCTAATTTGTAAATTATTTGTTTTTGGAAAAGGCACATAAATATGCACATCAATTAATTAACTATTTGATGTAGTAAATAAGAATGTATTATAAAATATAAATAGTTATTTGTTGAGCTTTTTAATACTGTTTCGGTTATTTTAAATAACTATTGAGTTGAAATGCTATTTAAGTATAAACAAATTATTTAGAGTTAAGATTGAAAACGTATATTATTTAAATAATTTTTTATTTAAATTTGATTAAACAAAAAGAAAATATTACTTATGATTTGAACAATAATTATTATTTCAATGTATTTTAACTTCGATGAGGAAACGTTTTGTTTGAAAAGGATTTCATCACTGGCAGTTTTTATTTTTTAACAGTTATTTGAAACAAAAAACATTGAAATAATGCTCAGGTTTGAAATCATTCTCAGGATGACATTCTTTCCCAAACCCTATTTTGTTTAAACTCCAATAACTACTTTAAATGCAAGTACTCAAAACTCTATTATCGACCGGTCGACATTTTCAGCAAATTATTTGTCTTTCGATAATTTCATAAAATATGAAACGTCCCAATTTGAGTAACGAAATTCGACGGCGCTCTAAAAAATACTAAGAAAGGTAAATAAATAGGACATTTTTTAAATAATATTGGAAATCAACTTTGACTGAAACGTTTACAGAAAGAAAAACGATTTAAAAAAAAAATAGTGTCTCACGTTAAAATGAATCACCCTGTACTTACGGTACACCCCAAAAGAAATAAGATGAACCGTAAGTTTGTCGATCCTAACGATGTTTGCATAGTCGCCAAAATCTTTTTAAAAGAAAAAAATAGGTCATTTCTCGACCTTGTTCCGAATATCGTCGAGTCCCTTTGGGACGGTAAAGTTTTCAAGATTCGCAGCCTCCCTTTTATTAGTCTGTTATATACAGTCGGACAGAGTGAGGGTGACATACCCTATACCTTTAGCCCCGAGGGAGGGGAGGGGGGATGAGTATAATAATAACACTAATAACATACATGGTACGCGATAATAATATTTTCCCAGTTTCCCAAGCACAATATGTCTGACAATATTTCTATACACACAGGGTAGTATTGGTTTAAGTGAGAAATCCGGGTCAAGGATCTTTGATACAGACGAAAGGTCTGTGACGGATCGAAAGGGACTGTTTGAGAAGAAAATGGGCGGAAAATGAAAATGATATATGACACTTTCTAAACATTGGGTTTTTTTTTTATTGTTGTACTTACACACACAGCTGTGTCGGCTGATATAACCGAGAGAGAGAAAAAAAACACATACATTTATACATATATAAATAAATAAGTAGAAGAAGTATAACACATCTCGGTTTGTGCGTTATTCACACGGGTCTTGTTCTTTCCAATGGACAATGATTGGACGAGTCATGAATGAAAAGACAGAAGGGGAAGTTCAGGAAGATAAAAATAATACTACACTCCACCTTTCCCCCTGCCCTGAACTTGAAACTTGAAAAATAGTCGTCCAGAAATGGTTTTGGATCAGTCAACATTTTTAGTACGTTATTCTCAATTAAAAAATTCTCACACTGTCGATTGCCTTTTTTAGTACTTCGGTGCTGAGTATTGGCATGGCATTTCATTATGATATTACACACCATGTGTATTCATATTCTGCGACTTATTAATAATATATTATTTTACTCCAAATCGATTGGGCGGTCGTTTACCCGAACAACTACAAACATAGAATGGTTGACGATTAACTTGGAAGTCCTACTACGGGTACTATAAGCCCTATAAGTGACCGAAGGGGGGAGGGGCGAG